CCATGTCATGAGGCACCATAGGACTTGCACAGGAGAGAAACACTTTGAATGTCCTCATTGTAGGAAAAGTTTCAATAGAAGTTCCCATCTGGTGATACACCAAAGGACTCACACAGGAGAGAAACCCTTCGAATGTCCTGATTGTGGGAAACGTTTCAGTGAGAATTCCTGCCTTGTGAAACACCAGAGGACTCACACAGGAGAGAAACCCTTTGAATGTCCTGGTTGTGGAAAAAGTTTCAGTCAGAATTCCAGCCTTGTGAAACACCAGAGGACTCACACAGGAGAGAAACCCTATGAATGTCCTGACTGTAGGAAAAGTTTCAGTTGCAATTCCCACCTGGTGACCCACCAGAGGACTCACACAGGAGAGAAACCCTTTGAATGTATTTATTGTGGGAAAAGTTTCAATAGAAATTCCCATCTGGTGAGTCACCAGAGGACTCACACAGGAGAGAAACCCTTCGAATGTCCTGATTGTGGGAAAAGTTTCAGTGAGAATTCCTGCCTTGTGAAACACCAGAGGACTCACACAGGAGAGAAACCCTTTGAATGTGCTGGTTGTGGAAAAAGTTTCAGTCAGAATTCCAGCCTTGTGAAACACCAGAGGACTCACACAGGAGAGAAACCCTATGAATGTCCTGATTGTAGGAAAAGTTTCAGTTGCAATTCCCACCTGGTGACCCACCAGAGGACTCACACAGGAGAGAAACCCTTTGAATGTATTTATTGTGGTAAAAGTTTCAGTCGCAATTCCAGCCTGGTGATCCACCAGAGGACTCACACAGGAGAGAAACCCTTTGAATGTATTTATTGTGGAAAAAGTTTCAGTCACAATTCCAGCTTGGTGACCCACCAGAGGACTCACACAGGAGAGAAACCCTTTGAATGTCTTCATTGTGGGAAAAGTTTCAGTGAGAATTCCAGTCTTGTGAACCACCAGAGGACTCACACAGGAGAGAAACCCTTTGAATGTCCTGATTGTGGGAAAGGTTTCAGTCAGAATTCCAGCCTTGTGAACCACCAAAGTACTCACACGGGAGAGAAAGCCTTTGAATGTCCTGATTGTAGGAAAAGTTTCAGTCAGAATTCCAGCCTTGTGAAACACCAGAGGACTCACACAGGAGAGAAACCCTTTGAATGTCCTGATTGTGGGAAACGTTTCAGTCAGAATTCCCACCTGGTGACACACCAGAGGATTCACACAGGAGAGAAACCGTTTGAATGTCCTGATTGTGGGAAACGTTTCAGTCAGAATTCCAGCCTTGTAATACACCAGAGGACTCACACAGGAGAAAAACCGTTTGAATGTCCTGATTGTGGGAAAAGTTTCAGTCAGAATTCCAGCCTTGTAATACACCAGAGGACTCACACAGGAAAGAAACCCTTTGAATGTCTTGATTGTGGGAAAAGTTTCAGTCACAAGTCCAGCCTTGTGATACACCATAGGACTCACACAGGAGAGAAACCCTTTAAATGTTCTGATTGTGGGAAAGGTTTCAGTCAAAATTCCAGCCTTGTGAAACATTAGAGGACTCACACAGGAGAGAAACCCTTTGAATGTCATGCTTTTGGGAGATGTTTTAGTCAGAATTCCCACCTGGTGACACCAGAGGATTCACATAGGGAATAAATCTTTCAAATGTCTACTCTTTGCATGTTACTTCACTCATAAATCATCCCTTATTGCACACAAGGAAATCCATATCAGGCAAAAGTTGAAGAATTTAGAAAAGGCTTGAAATTCATTTTTAATTTCCATTGAAACTGTAGTTGAGAAATTGACTATCTGAATTGTGGTCTGAATCTTTTTACTCAAACATGTCTCAGGACTAGACTTGTAGGTGGAGAGAAAAGGAAAATGGAAAAGGGCTAACTATAAACTTCTGGTTAGCAGCAGCAGCTACTGGATATTTCCTTTTGTAGAAGTTGTGGATTTCCTCAAAAAGGCTTCTGGGTGGTAGTTTTGTATATTGATTATATAATTCCCACATGTGGAGTTTCAGGTCTTCTACCTTGGTTTCCTCCAGATTTTGAGCCCCAGAATTCCTCAGCCAGCGTAGAAAAGGTCCTCAAGATGTAACTGTCATGGGCCTTGCAATTATGGTTGCATGTTGGAACGGCCATTAAGTGAGACCTCTTTCCTAAACTACCCTGATCTCTCTTATTCAGCCATTAATTGAATGTGTCAGTCACTAAGTGGAACACTGGCAACCTCAGGGTTGGGCAGGCCCAGTTTTGCCTGTTGTAGGCATCTCTAGGCCTCCCCCACCCTGTCCTCTGTTTCCCAACCCTTGTGCCACCCAGTTCTTTCCCATCCCAGAGTCTCCACAGGCTTTTTCTCCCTCCCACTGGGTCTCTGCACGCCTCACACTCTCCTCTTTCTTTTTAAGATTTCTGATCCTCATGTTGGGGAAGGAGGGGAGGGCGTGCATCCCTGGCCCTTGGGACTGTGTCCTGGAAGCAGCCGTTATTTTCAGTGAGCCCTGGCTTCGTCCCTGGGCCATGCGGTGGACTTGTGGAAGTGGCTGCCATTTGGCCATACTGTCACGCAGAAGAGAGACAAACTTCTCTGTTTTGCTACCTAACATGAGGAAAAAAATGTACAGTTGAAAAGGTTTCATTGCTGATAAGGGAAAAATGGGTATTTTCAGTGTTGCTATGGACATTCTCAAGGGAAGTCACTCAGAGTTGTCTCAAACAGCAAGATGGGCAGTGATTAAGTTTAATAATGAATGAATTTAATAATAAAAAGATAATGTAAAGCTCATTACCCAACTCTTGCTCAGTGATACAGTGGGTTTCTACCATATACAGTTGTTAACTTGTAATCTGTCTCGTGTGTAATCTGCATCTCTAAGTAATCTGTTTTACTCAGTTTCCCTTCCCTCCTCATTTATAAATTTAAAATGTCGGTTTCAATCATACATCAGTCCCACCACTCTCTGCCTCTGATGATGTGAGCTGCAGTTAGGCTTCTGCCTCTTAATTTATTGTTGCATTGCTATCTGCCCTAGTCCTAAATTCTATAAAAATACAGCAATTCATTAGGCATAGTTTAAAAAATAGACCGGCTAACTGGATATGTTTTGATTGCATCCTTCTCAGATTCAGTGATTGTCTTCTCCATCCCTGCCAATCGGACAGAGGGAAATTAGGACATTTCAAACCGGACAACTAAGCTATGGTTTCCCTCTAAAACAGCCATTTGTTTTGCCAGTCGGTTTGTATCCTTTGAAAATCAAAGACTCATAGAGGATCTCTCTGATTTCCCTAATGATTCTCCAAATTCTGAACCAGATTCGATAGACATCATGGAAGTTCAGGTCCCCGTGTATGGCAACAATGAGTAGACACAAATGTTTGAAAAAACCTGGAAATGGATTCCTTTAACTTAAGAATATGTCGGCTGCTCAGTCTGAAAGCTGGTCCTGAGTGTGGCACTCTGGGCATTTGAAGGTGCCTGTGACCCCTCTTGGTTCTTCTGGGTCCTGTCCCCCTTGATTTTATTTCTTCTTTTAAAAGAAGAAATGATGGGCAGCTGTAACAAGCCAGAATGGGTTTGTTAAGGATGTGATGCCAGACAAACGTTATTGCCATTTTTGATGAAGTAACTTAGTGGATTTGCAAAATGTTTTGGAAATAGTATTCTTGGACGTTGGCAAGACGTTTGACAAGGTAGAGTACAAGTTAACTTTTTGGTAAGATAGAACAACATGGGATAGATAGAACCAGCCCTAGGTGAATTCGCAATTGACTGACCAACCACACTCAGTGGGTATTCCTCAATGGAACTACATCTACGTGGAGAGAA